TATGGGGCTGGCAAAGGCAGTGTACAGATACTAACCACGACAAAAGGTTGTCCAGATTGGTCTCATTACTTGCATTATCTAGTACAATTTCCCTCGTTCCCTGACGAGCACGAGGTTCTGCCTTGTCGTCCAAATCTTTTCCAAGATTATAAACCAAGATGTAGATTGCTCGATGGGACATGAAAACAGGATGAGATGCGTAGTATAAGTGTTGGCCAGCAAAATCCCAAATGCTTATTGCGACTTCCTTATCTCTTATAGTTTCATCTATTTTCTTTTCCTGTAAATACTTGATCAGTGACATCTTAACTTCGTCTGGCACTTGCAGATTTTGCTTTGATGAAGATTCCAGTATTTTTTTCGTGGTTGCCTCGTGATTCTCGGTTTCCTGGTTGTCTTTTATAGTTTCGTCAATTTTCCTTTCCGGCGATTGCTCAACTTTATTTGGCACTTGAACTGACTCAGAACTGACTTGGTCTGCTTGCTTATGAGGTTCAGAAGAAACGTCTATTGCTGGATTTAAGGGTATATGATAAGAATTAATTAACCTCGACACGATTATCATGATCATCATCACTAAATTCAAAAATTATCATCATTCATATCAATAACTTTTAAATATGTACTATTCATGTTTATCATATAATTATCTATGAAATACCTATATTTCTCCATTTCGTACAAATTATATTTTCACTTATTTTCCCTAATGAATCGAAAATAACACATTCGACGTTTCTCCATATAGTGGACGTAAGAAAAAGGTGTTTTACGACATAATTTGCTTTCATATGTAATTAAAAAACTCATACATAATTAATGAGTTACTAGGCCAATAGAATGAGCCTATTTGGTCACATGCATGGACCTTTATATCTGATAAAACACTCCTTATTTGTATTCTTTATATAAAGAATACTAATAAGGGTGACCTTTATCAGATATAAAGGTCCATGACCCTAGCAAAGGTCTCAGATTTGAAACCTGATCATTGACCAATGCAGGATGTCAACCGATTTCAGTGAACAGCCAAGAGCGGTTCTATTTTACTTTATGCGTATTGCGTATTCAATGTGGGATGACAAGAGTGCTTTGTAAAGTGATTCGCGCATGATCACTTTGCCCCATTTATCTCTGAACATATTTGTACGGCAATTTCTCCAAGAATTTTAACGGATTTGAGTTTCAAATTAGTGTTGGAGTTTTTTAAGCCGTTTAAAACACTCGAGATCGTGTTTTATCAGGTATAAAGATTCTCGCCTTCGTCTCGAATCTTTATACCTGATAAAACACTCTCTCTCGTGTTTTAAACTATACTTATATGATAAACAGAATATTGCATGGTCACTCGGACATTGAAGCCAATTCCTGACTACAGGTATGTAATTTTAATTGATAACAAAATGTATTGAAAGCAAAACCAATTCTGCCGTTAGTTTGATTATATAAATTTTAACTTACCCCTTGTATCCTTAGTAACATCGCCCTATAAAAATGTGTATATTAAGTCAAGAGTTAATGCTTAAACCCAGTTTAAGGAATAATGAAAAATATTTGCCAACAAAAAAACTATAAATATAAATCCCATATGTATCATAATAATTTTGAATTAGAGGTTGATGTAGAAGCATTACAAAAAAAAATAGGTTTTAGATGCAGTCGCGACCAGACGACGCCCTGAAACACACATGGAACTAAACAATACTATTCTAAGAGAATTTCCCTGAAAAAGTATAATATTACTTCATCAGCGAAGATCGGAGGGTTGTTATTGTACGAGAGAGTGCAGCATATGCGCCAAATCAGTGTGGGTCTTGTGCCATTCTTAAGTAATACGACAATTGATTGTACATTTCTATTTCTTGTTTGGAATCAACTTAATTCAACATTTTTCTCGATTTCGAAGGAAGTATTAAGAGCAATTTATTTTAAAATGACGAGCGTGACATACCACAATGGGGATTGCGTTTAAAGAGCACATGCATTCAATTGTAAAACAATAGTTTTATTTGAATATATATTTTAATGTCTGTGCAGAGTTTACCGATATTTGATCAATCTTATATCACCATTTTTGGTGAATTTCTAAGTAAATCCTAAAATTCACTTTATATTAATTCATATTCTTGTCATTCACGACATTGTCTTTAAATGCTTATTTGGCGCATGGGCTGCACTATCTCTACTCACATTTGATAACTTATGTAATTCAAATCAAACTTTCAATTTTCAACCGTAGCGAGTGATTTTCGCGTTTTTGAGTATATGATATAGAAAGGAAGTCATGCTCGCGAGCGTGCACTAGCCTGCTAAATAAATACCGTTCTTGGAACAATCAGCGTACTATTACATTATTCTGGGTCATAATATAACTTTTTTTAACACACTTGTGCAATTTCTCGCGCGCTGATTTGCTGATAAGAGCGTGTCAATAAGAGGACATGCACAGCGTGCTGACACCATCACGTCTCGTGCGCGATCAATTGAAAGAAAAGAATGATTTTCGCTAATTTCTAGACTAAAAATGTGTTAAAAAACAAAGTGCACACGATTTTTTGTTGTATCTTGAAGTCATAAAATGTTCAAACTTTATCGAGGGATTTTTCATCATGTGGGTGCAACCCAAGAATAGTAAATTGTACCTGCTTTTTGATATCTTTGGCCATCACAAAAGCAAAATCATCGTCTACAATTATGCCGTCATTCTCTTTCATTTGCCAAATCATGATGTTGTTCCTAGTAACAGGTTTGCATAGAGATACTTCTACCCCAACCGTGCTCTCTTGTAGGGGATTGAACGGTAAACCTTGAAGAGATCTCTTGAGGCATGTTTTTCCTGCACCTTCTTGGCCAATTATTTTCACACAAGCTCGATAAATTTGCACGCTTCCATGATAAAACGCCTTTCGATATGATTCTTCAGCAAAAGGTCCCTGAGCAATTATTTCAGGTGGCATCGATCGAACTGAGAGGTCCAAAAAAGAGAATATACAATTGTGTTATTAGTCTCCTCCCTAAACGAGGCACATACGAACGTTTTATAGGATAAAAACAGTCAGATCTTATCCATGCAATTCTCTATTTCAAATATGATATGGATAATAAGTGTGTAAATGAAATGTTTTGCTTTTAAGAACCATCAGCTTTTAAGTAATACATATATATAATATGAGCGGTAGACCTATGAGATGCAAGCTAATAGTTTTAAAGATATGAATGTAATAGTTTTAAAGCTTATCAAATTGCAACATAATCCTAAAGCATATATTTTGTTAAAAACGTCAAGGTAAAATGATTCTAACAGAAAATCAACAGTCAAGTTGTATGCAAATCAAGACAAATCTCTTGCAAATGTAAAGATGCCGTCACAGAAATTATTTTTAGCAGTATTTATCTAATGAATAAGACACAATTACATATTACACCTTTTGCTGTTCATTAACCGCGAAGGAACTTTCAATCAAGCRAAACTGCATTKYMTTTAGYGCGAACGAACGTTCATTAACGCTTAGGGAGTTTCAAGAGCGTGAAGGGAGAATCATTAACATATTTAGCATAGATATGGACAATCATGCATAACTGSGCGMAGATTCATTAACGTTYTYRAACCTTCATTAGCCCATTATGTGCATTCAATAAACTACAACAAACATACAATACCAAAATACGGACATTTAATTTCGTCATAGTTTTTTCAGCATGAAATATGACTCGTTACAGCTACTACGACTTGTTTAAAGTTGGAAWRCAATGCCTCCGCGTCGACATCGAATTTCGAGCGAAGTGAAAGAGCGTCTTGTAAGAGCGTATGAGGACCCGGCCGAGGATTATCTAGCGGTTGCCGCTACATTGGGGGTTAATAGTTCTACCGCAACCATATGCAAACTTATTTACCAAGATGCTTAAATAGAGAGCATATTCAAGGATGAAGATAATTTTTGTATGTAAAATATCACACTTATTAAACACTCTTTAAATCCTAGAAATAAATACTATGACGAAATTAAATGTCCGTATTTTGGTATTGTATGTTTGTTGTAGTTTATTGAATGCACATAATGAGCTAATGAAGGTTTGAAAACGTTAATGAATCTGCGCCCAGTTATGCATGATTGTCCATATCTATGCTAAATATGTTAATGATTCTCCCTTCACGCTCTTGAAACTCCCTAAGCGTCAATGAACGTTCGTTCGCGCTGAAGACAATGCAGTTTCGCTTGATTGAAAGTTCCTTCGCGGTTAATGAACAGCAAAAGGTGTATGTTAAATACAGGCAACAATTCAGTTTTATGAAAATATATAACATTTACCTATCTCAGCAAAACCTGTAAAGTGTTTTCGCAGATAGGATGCAGCAGTCTTGTATTCACCGATTAGTTGATATGCACTTACTAAGGTCCTGTAGCCCAACACCTCGCCTTGCCTGTCACCGATCTCTTTGGCGATATCAATAAACTTTTCTTGATATTCAATTGCCTTGTGGTATTCCCCCACTGATTGGCATGACTTTGCTAAGTTTTCGTAAGCTCTTTTTTCTCCGTTTTTGTCTCCTGTTTCCTTTGCGACTCTAAGAAACCTTTCCAGAAATTCATTTCCTTTGCGATGTTGTCCTATTGACTGATATGCACCTCCTAAAGCTTCGCAGAAAATTCCTTCACTGCTTGTGTCTCCTATCATCTTTGCAATATCAACGGATTTCTGTAAGTAAAATATTGCCTTTTGGTATTCATTGATTGCCTGAGATACCACTCCTAAGTTGCCATAAGCTGTACACTCTCCCTTTCTGTCACCAATCTCTTTGGCAATACTGAGGCTCCTTTCGCTGTATTCTCTTGCTTTTGTATACTCCCCTAATGATTGATATGCATTTCCTAAGTTGCCATAAACTGTTCTTTCTCCCATTCTGTCACCAATCTCTTTGGCAATACTGAGGCTCCTTTCGTGGTATTCAAATGCTTTTCTATACTCCCCTAATGATTGATATGCAATTCCTAAGTTGCCATAAACTGTTCCTTCTCCCATTCTGTCACCAATCTCTTTGGCAATACTGAAACTCTTTTCGTGGTATTCAATTGCCCTGATATATTGGCCCATTGTATGATACACATTTCCTATTTTTCCATAAGTACTTGCTTCAATAGCTTTATTACCTATCTGTTTGGCAATGCTGAGGCTCTTTTCGAGGTATTCAATTGCATTAGCAAATTCTCCTAAACTGCGATATAAATTTCCTTGGTTTAAATAACTCGTTCCTTCTTCCTGTATATCACCGATCTCTTTGGCAATGCTGAGGTTCTTTTCGTGGTATTCAATTGCCTTGTGGAATTCGCCTAATGACTGATATGCATATCCTATGTTTCCATAAGCTTTCCCTTCACCACTTCTATCACCGATCTCATCGGCAATTCTGAGACTCTTTTCGTGGCATGCAATTGCTTTGTGGAATTCGCCTAATGACTGATATGAATATCCTATGTTTCCATAAGCTTTCCCTTCACCACTTCTATCACCGATCTCATCGGCAATTCTGAGACTCTTTTCGTGGCATGCAATTGCTTTGTGGAATTCGCCTAATGACTGATATGCACAGCCTATGTTTCCATAAGCTTTCCCTTCACCACTTCTATCACCGATCTCTTTGACAATGCTGAGACTCTTTTCGTGGTATTCTATTTCGTTGTAGAATTCACCTAATGAGTGATATTTCTTCGCCATTAAGTCTGCAACACTATAAAAGTATTTTCAGTCGAGTTTGTTTCATTTTTAGTTGCTTGCATAATCATGAGGATACGTAAAGGGNTTTCTCCGTTTTTGTCTCCTGTTTCCTTTGCGACTCTAAGAAACCTTTCCAGAAATTCATTTCCTTTGCGATGTTGTCCTATTGACTGATATGCACCTCCTAAAGCTTCGCAGAAAATTCCTTCACTGCTTGTGTCTCCTATCATCTTTGCAATATCAACGGATTTCTGTAAGTAAAATATTGCCTTTTGGTATTCATTGATTGCCTGAGATACCACTCCTAAGTTGCCATAAGCTGTACACTCTCCCTTTCTGTCACCAATCTCTTTGGCAATACTGAGGCTCCTTTCGCTGTATTCTCTTGCTTTTGTATACTCCCCTAATGATTGATATGCATTTCCTAAGTTGCCATAAACTGTTCTTTCTCCCATTCTGTCACCAATCTCTTTGGCAATACTGAGGCTCCTTTCGTGGTATTCAAATGCTTTTCTATACTCCCCTAATGATTGATATGCAATTCCTAAGTTGCCATAAACTGTTCCTTCTCCCATTCTGTCACCAATCTCTTTGGCAATACTGAAACTCTTTTCGTGGTATTCAATTGCCCTGATATATTGGCCCATTGTATGATACACATTTCCTATTTTTCCATAAGTACTTGCTTCAATAGCTTTATTACCTATCTGTTTGGCAATGCTGAGGCTCTTTTCGAGGTATTCAATTGCATTAGCAAATTCTCCTAAACTGCGATATAAATTTCCTTGGTTTAAATAACTCGTTCCTTCTTCCTGTATATCACCGATCTCTTTGGCAATGCTGAGGTTCTTTTCGTGGTATTCAATTGCCTTGTGGAATTCGCCTAATGACTGATATGCATATCCTATGTTTCCATAAGCTTTCCCTTCACCACTTCTATCACCGATCTCATCGGCAATTCTGAGACTCTTTTCGTGGCATGCAATTGCTTTGTGGAATTCGCCTAATGACTGATATGAATATCCTATGTTTCCATAAGCTTTCCCTTCACCACTTCTATCACCGATCTCATCGGCAATTCTGAGACTCTTTTCGTGGCATGCAATTGCTTTGTGGAATTCGCCTAATGACTGATATGCACAGCCTATGTTTCCATAAGCTTTCCCTTCACCACTTCTATCACCGATCTCTTTGACAATGCTGAGACTCTTTTCGTGGTATTCTATTTCGTTGTAGAATTCACCTAATGAGTGATATTTCTTCGCCATTAAGTCTGCAACACTATAAAAGTATTTTCAGTCGAGTTTGTTTCATTTTTAGTTGCTTGCATAATCATGAGGATACGTAAAGGGTAGCTACAACTAATTCACTTAGGTACGGAATTCGTTGACGTGGTACTGTGAACAAAAAGACAAAATCATTAGCATACTCTTAGAAAAATACACAGCATACATTTAAATAACTTTAAAAAGGGGGAATTCTAATTCTTGGGCAAAATGAAGAACAAAATAACTGTAACAGCAACAACAAAAAATAGGCGCAGTCTTTGGCGCATTAGATTGTATCAAAAAGATAGCATCACTCTGCTGGATGATATGGCATGATGGTATTATTTTGCTACAACGACCGGACCTAAAATGCTCACATCGTTTTTACTGTTATTTGTGTTCCATTTGGAGTTTGTAAAGCAATTTATCATATAATTATATAGGAAATACCTATATTTCTCCATTTCATAATGTTGATGTTTTCACTAGTGAAAATAACATGATAACAAATTCGAGGTTTCTCCGTATAATAGAAGTAAGAAAAAGGGCAGTTTGCGACATAATTTGCTTTCATATTTAAATTATACTATATATCATTAAAGTGCGGGTACGATGAAAACCGAACATCGAATTTGAGCTGTTTTTGTACATATACCTCTTTATGAAGATCCAAATAAGTATTTCTGATATCTTTTTTATCGATACATCATTGAAAAGCAGGAGAAATCGAGCTTTGAAAGTCGGTTTTTTCCTATCCGCCATTACTCTGAGCCGAAGTGACATCGGTTGGCGGTTTTACCCAAACGTGAAGCATATGACGTCATATGCTTAACCCAGGAACGAGGTTGTCCTTCAGACATACAAAACTTAGGGGAAATCGGGGAAATGAAGGTTTGAAGCGTATAAAATAATGAAGAAACAAAGTCAGGAGCATCGAATCAAACGTTTTGTTCTGTCTGTGAGACCTTCCGAGTTCAAATGAAGCGTTTAAAAAATTATAGTGATATATTTCGGCCTATAACAAACACACTATCCATCCGCTCTCTGAAGACATATCATGGAGATGGGGAGCACACGGCCAGTTCAATTCCCAGATTTGTAGACATCCTAAAGTTTATCATAAAAGTAAGTTTCTATTTTCTTTGGAGTCTTCATAAGTTAAGACTCCGGTCATGCTACGCGATAAGTTCGACTTTGAATTTAAACTGTTGATTAAACTGAGTACAAAATTATTATCACCGCGCGTGATGTTATTGAATTCACTTAATCATGAAGTCGTAATTTGTTGTTTTAATATAAATGAAAAAGACCAAGTATTTAAAAGTGCTCTCCCGTAACGCGACATACTTTTTGTCCTTTTGGGGCTGAGACTCGAAAGAAAATTGGCAGCTTATACTTGCTTGATCAGGGAGTCAATATGAGTACTGTGATAATTCACTAATTCACCGATCTCAAAACATGGTTTGAATAGCCGTTTATCTTTAAATGTTTCAGAGCAGATGCACTACAATGTAAATAATATGCCTATCAGTAAAGAGAAGAATTGTAAAATAGTGACAACATGACAGCAATCAGCAAATGTGCGAACGTGTTATTTATTGCAAACCGGCCGCTACATTGCGTCGGATACTAGATAGCGATACAAGTTGATGTCAATAAAACTACTGAACTCTAATTGAAGATTATATCCTTCTAAACGATTAGTTCCCTCTTCCAACTATTCAATAGCACGACCAAGATAACGAAATTCAATTGCAAAATATCTTAATATCTCAAAAATAATTATTTAGCAATCAAACCTTCACCCTTGTTTGCTTGTTGTGCTTTTGACAACAAAACTTGTCAGACAGCAACGTCTCATTCAGAAACACTAAAAAACTGAGCTGGAACATCAGATAGAATATACGTATGGAGTCAGTGATAAATTTTCAATACAGCTCATAACGTAAGATAACAGTTTCTGCCAAAAACATTGCAATATTTCGAAAACAACATTCGATTCACATTGGATTCACACGGTAGTTCATGTTGACAAATTCACTCGTGTTAAGCATATGATGTCAAAATTCGATACCAGCCCCTWACGGCCTTCATCTTCCAAAWTGGCTGCCGGTTAATGGCGGATCGAAAATYGACRACAATAATGGCAAATTTCAACATKTTCTCTTCATCTAAAATGTAAAATACCTTATTTATGGTATTATTAATAGTATAAACTAGCAAAAACTAAAAAAATCCGCCTAT